ATAGACTGGTAATGCCTCTTTTATCCAAGAATTATGGGATTTAAGACCCAGATTTCACAAAGAGGACTTTTGATAAAGGCTGGTGATCAAATCCCCCCCTATTCACCGCGGGCCTCGCAGGCCAATAAGAAGAAGGGATTTATTGATGTTGTGTTTACCAAGATAAGATCTCAGCCCGGGCTGCTGCTGCGTATTAGAAAAAAGAAAGAAAGGGAGGGAAAATAAAACAAGAGAAAATGTAGACAAGCCCAAGACAATGTTGAGATAGGGATGAAGAGAATAGAAAAGAAGCCCTTTTATCGTTGTTTTTTTCTTATGGGGCAAAGAGATTCTAAAACCATTATAGGGATTAAGCACTACCACCATAAAAAAAAAGAGAGAGAAAGAGGTTAATCTGCTTTAGCTGTTCATTTGTCAAAATTGAATTTATAGTTTTGGACAATCATTCGAGGCTGAGATTGGAGGAGCCCTGGCCCTTGGCCTCCCAAGTCAGCCAAAGGAAAGATTAAGAAGCAAACAAAGTCGGGTTATTTGAGAAGAGTTAATTTAAAACGGAACAGGCCGGTTGCTCGGAAGGCATCTTCAGAACGTCCTTTGCCCCAACACAAAGTTGGAAAGCCTTCCGATGTTGTAGAGTAACTGCCTCCAACTTTTCTTGGGTGAGAGGAATCTGAGTGAGAGCACTGGCTTCAGCAGCAAGGATTCTGGGGTCTGTGGTATAAGGAGATGGACTGAGATTTCTCAACTGCAAGTCCCAGACTGCCATTGGATATTGTGGTGGTTAAAGTGGAATCATGTTGTACCATGCCTCGAACTGTTAGAAGAACCTGGTAACAATTTATTATTATTACTATTGTTGTTGTTGTTGTTGCTGCACAATAACAATGTGCTGCGAATGCATCAAAATGCCAAATTGGGGGTTGTTGTTCATTCGTTCAGTCGTCTCCGACTCTTCGTGACCTCATGGACCAGCCCACGCCAGAGCTCCCTGTCGGCCGTCACCACCCCCAGCTCCTTCAAGGTCAGTCCAGTCACTTCAAGGATGTTCCATCCATCTTGCCCTTGGTCGGCCCCTCTTCCTTTTGCCTTCCACTTTCCCCAGCATAATTGTCTTCTCTAGGCTTTCCTGTCTTCTCATGATGTGGCCAAAGTACTTCAACTTTGTCTCTAGTATCCTTCCCTCCAGTGAGCAGTCGGGCTTTATTTCCTGGAGGATGGACTGGTTGGATCTTCTCGCAGTCCAAGGCACTCTCAGAACTTTCCTCCAACACCACAGTTAAAAAGCATCTATCTTCCTTCGCTCAGCCTTCCCTAAGGTCCAGCTCTCACATCCGTAGGTTACTACAGGGAATACCATGGCTTTGACTATGCGGATTTTCGTTGCCAGTGTGATGTCTCTACTCTTTACTATTTTATCGAGACTGGACATTGCTCTCCTCCCAAGAAGTAAGCGTCTTCTGATTTCCTGGCCACAGTCTGCATCTGCAGTAATCTTTGCAGCTAGAAATACAAAGTCTGTCACGGCCTCCACATTTTCTCCCTCTATTTTCCAGTTGTCAATCATTCTTGTTGCCATAATCTTGGTTTTTTTTGATGTTTAGCTGCAACCCAGCTTTTGCGCTTTCTTCTTTCACCTTGATTAGAAGGCTCCTCAGCTCCTCCTCGCTTTCAGCCATCAGAGTGGTGTCATCTGCATATCTGAGGTTGTTAATGTTTCTTCCAGCAATTTTCACCCCAGCTTTGCATTCATCAAGCCCCGCACATCGCATGATGTGTTCTGCATACAAGCTAAAAAGGTTGGGTGAGAGTATGCAGCCTTGCCGTACGCCTTTCCCAATCTTGAACCAGTCTGTTGTTCCGTGGTCAGTTCTGACTGTTGCTACTTGGTCCTTGTACAGATTCCTCAGGAGAGAGACAAGGTGGCTTGGTATGCCCATCCCACCAAGAACATTGTTTTGCCAAAGAACATTGTTTTGCCAAAGAATGTCCGTGCCTCACTGAACTACATCTCCTGGGATTCTGCAGCATTGACTGAAGCATGGCAGCTCAAAGGAGTGTCAAACTGCATTCATTCCACACTGTAGATGTGTCCCAAGATCAAGGAAATGATGCATGCCTGAGCTAACCCTTTTAAAAAGAGGCTAGATGGCCATCTGTGGGGGGTAGTTTGAATGCAATTTTCCTGCTTCTTGACAGGGGGTTGGATTGGATGGCCCACGAGGTCTCTTCCAACTCTATGATTCTATGATTCTAACAGTGGGATTTTGAACTGCATCAAAAGGAGTCTAGTAGAGGTGTGCAAAGTGGTTGAAATCCAATTAGTAATTCATTTCGGAGATTCGGGTGGCCCCCTACTTTGTTTCATGAAGATCCGAAGGGAGTCCTGTTCTGATTAAGTTATCCGAATCTCTGAAGCTTCATAATTGTTTCATTCAGATTTGTTCCATTTGCGGCAATGGGAAAAATCGCGAGGCTTGTTTCTCCATCATTTTTATGGTGATCAGGATGAAACCTGGCACACTTGTAGGCAACGTTTACGACGTTAAGCCTGCCAAGTTTCAGAGTGTTTCATTGTAAAAATACAATTAAAAAACACTGAAAGGGAAGGGGTGCGTGGAGTGAAAGTAGCCTCCCATTTTTATGCTTATTCGCTCTCTAGCAAACTCTATGCTTGCCTCACTCCTCTCTATTAGTGGGCTTTCACCCTCTGTACATTCTGATTTAAATTTTTAAGAGGTATATGTCACCATATTATTAGTATATTATATTTCTTTAAAATCGTGAATTGCCCATTTTAATAATAACTATTGCTGCATCTTATTGAGTATTTTATTTAAATTGAGTTGGGTTTTATCTTTTGTAAGTGTTATTGCTATTGTTATTGATGTTGATGTATTTTACTTGTATTTTATGTGTTCTTATAGCACTATTATGTGCTGTTCTGTAAGCCGCCACAAGTCCCTTCTGGTAGAGGGTGGCAGGATGTAAATAAAGGTATTATTATTATTATTATTATTATTATTATTATTATTATTATTATTATTATTTGAAACACAACAAGATTAGTACACAGCAAACAAGATTACTATTCTGGCTGTTGTATTGGATCACACATTGGACACTTCCCAGGTATCTAGGACTGTGTGATGTATTGGTGAATAACGCATGCAGATCCAAGTAGGGTGGCCTTTTGCAGCTGACACGTGGTAATTTTGTCAGCGCTGATTGTGTTTAAGTGAAGGCCAAGGTCTTTAGGCACTGCACCCGGTGTGCCGATCACCACTGGGACCACTTTTACTAGCTTGTGCCAGAGTTGTTGCAGTTTGATCTTTAAATCCTTGTATCGTGTCAGCTTTTCCAGTTGTTTCTCTTCAATCCTGCTGTCGCCTGGGATTGCAATATCAACGATCCAAACTTTGTTTTTTAACACAATTGTGAGGTCAGGAGTATTTTGCTCCAAAACTCTGTCATTCTGAAGTTGGAAGTCTCAGAGTAGTTTGACGTGTTCATTTTCTGTAACTTTTTCAGGCTTGTGATCCCACCAATTCTTTGTCACAAGCAGATGGTATTTGTGGCACACGTTCTAATGAATCATCTGAGCAATGGTGTTATGCCTCTGCTTGTAGTCTGTCTGTGCAATCTTCTTGCAGCAGCTGAGGATGTGATCTATTGTTTCGTCTGCTTCCTCATAGAGTCTACAGTTGGGATCTGTCATCAACTTTTCAATTCTGGCTTTGTTAACATTGGTTCTAATGGCCTGTTCTTGGGCTGCAAGAATTGGGCCCTTGATCTGTTTTTCAAAGTTCCATTTGTGAGCCACATCCATGTTTTTTCTTTGTCAATTTTGCTTTCAAATTTTCCCAGGAGCCTTCTTTTGCCAGTTTTCTCTTCTGCTCTGCATTGTATTTTTACAGTATTTGCTCTTTGTCCTTTGCACTCTAAGCAGTTTTATTCTATTGACTTCCATCAATGTTAGTTCTTGACTGTCTTTCACATAGTCTGTCAGTGCATATTTCTCTTCTTCTAACGTTTGTTTCACTTGCAAAAGCCCTCTGCCTCCTGATTTTCTGGGCAGGTCAAGTCTGTCGACATCAGTCTGTGGACCGGGCTGTGGCGCAGCTAGTTAGTAGCCAGCTGCATTGAATCACTACTGACCGAGAGGTCATGAGTTCAAAGCCAGACTGGGTTGGCGTGAGCTCCTGACCTTTAATAGTCTAGCTTGCTGTTGACCTATGCAGCCTGAAATATAGTTACATCTGTCAAGTAGGAAATTTAGGTATCACTTTATCAGGGAGGCTAATTTAACTAATTTACGACACCATAAAACCTTCCAACAGCATGCAGAAAAATGAGGAATTACTCCATCAAGGACTCGGTGTCGTAAGTGGACGGTGAAGCGGCAACTCTACCTGTGGCTGGAATCATGCATACCCTCATGAAGCCAGAAAGCTGGAATGTTAAATTGCCTCTGTGTCTATCTATATATGTTGTATGTCTATGGCATTGAATGTTTGCCATGTATATGTGCATTGTAATCCGCCCTGAGTCCCATGCAGGGTGAGAAGGGTGGAAAATAAATTCTGTAAATAAATAAATAAATCACTACCCGGTTGTAATGAGTAGTGGATTGTCATCAGTTTTCTTGTTTTTCTGTCCAGGTCATTATAATTGTAATATATATTTATATATATTACATTAATATTATATATTAATATATATGTAATATTATTTATACCTTGCTTTATCTCCCAAAGGGGACTCAAAGCAGCTATACTGATATATACTGATATCCTGTATAGGGGGTCCCTAGAACCATAAGAAAGGCAAAGAAACCACGGTTCATAATTCATTCTTGAATTGCCACCTTTAAAAGTCAAACCACAGATTTCCCATTCTATTGAAAAAAAAGTATGATGGGGAAAGGGGCCAATTTGGGTGTTGTTCCCTCTCCCGCCCATAGGTGGCGCTGTCGTGCCTGCAGCTCCACTCTTTCTTTGGTCATCGCAGCCTGCTATTCCCACTTCCGGATTCAATTGCCAAAGCTGAGGATGGCAAAGCATGATCCAGAGCCAGGATCACTCCTCTTTCGGGCCCTGGCCGAAGCAGAAGGCCGGCAAGGGGCCAGGCAAAGCGTCGTCCTCGTCTTGGAAGAGCTTCGGATGTTCGCAGGGTGAGATGATCGCCTGGAAGAGGGGGGCAAAGGAGCCACGTGGGTGGCATCTGCAAAAGGGGGGCATCTCCAGTGGAGCATCAAGGCAGTTTGGCACCATTTCAACTGCCAATGGCTCAAGGCTAGAGGATCCTGGGGTTGCAGTTGGATGGAGCACCAGAAGAGCAGGCAAACGGCCCTTCCAGACAGGCCTTCTATCCCACGATCTGATGCCAGGTTTTCTGTTTATTCCAGATTATCTGGCAGTGCGGACTCCTATAATCCAGTTTAAAGCAGAAAACCTGGGATCATTTCCGGGATAAAGGGCCTGTATGGAAGGGCCCTTAGAGACCTTTAAAAACTACAGCTCCCAGGATTCCATCGCATTGAACCAAGGGGGTATCAAACTTTTGGAGATGGGAAATCTCCATTACCTTTTGGAAAGGCATGGCCTTGTTCGAAGTCATAACCTTTTGAAAAATTATACTATGACATTTTGGGAAAATGGCATTCGTGCAAGGCAATCAGGTTTCTCAGCTGTTAAACTGATGTACCTATATATGTATTTGAACTGTTGAGGACAAAGATATGCCAATGCACAAACACGCATATATATATATAGAGAGAGAGAGAGAGAGCAGGGTTTCTGTAAACATAGCAGAGCACCTGATGAACCAACCTGAACACAACATATTATTGGAGAACACAGAAATGCTGGACCACTCTAACAGCCACCATGTCAGACTACACAGAGAAGCCATTGAAACCCACAAGCATGTTTTGCATAAAGATACGGTGGGCCACCATGTCCTTATTCTGAGAGGACAGGAAAAACGAGGAGGGCCTAAGGTAGGCACCTATGGGGCCTCATCCAGTCCCTGGGCCTCAGATTGCCCGTACCTGATCTAGTCCAATCCCCTGACATGCAGGACAAGCACAATCAAAGTATCAATTTGTCCAAAATATTTGGTTAAGGAGGAAACAATAAGTGACTGTTTGAAGTGTACTTCGAATGGATGAGCTTTTTTCGCTAGAGTTACAAGCTAGGTAGATCCGGGGAATGCCGTGGATTTCAGGAAGGCCTTCCTTCGACAAGGTCCCCCATGACATTCTGGCAAACTAACTAGTCCAATGTGGGCTAGGCAAAACTATGGTTAGGTGGATCTGTAATTGGTTAAGTGAACAAACCCAGGGGGTGATTCTCCCCAATGCTTCTTCATCCTGGAAAGAAGTGGCAAGTGGAGTGCCATCAGCAGGGTTCCATCCTGGGCCCGGTCCTGTTCAACATCTTTATTAATGACTTAAATGAAGGGTTGGAAAGCATGATCATCAAGTTTGCAGACTGGACCAAATTGGGAGGGATACTTAATACCCCAGAAAACAGGAGCAGAACTCCAAACGATCTGAACAGATTAGAGAAATGGGCCAAAACTAACAAAATGAAGTTCAACAGTAACAAATGCAAGACACTCCACTTAGGCAGAAAAAATGAAATGCAAAGGTTCAGAATGAGGGACGCCTAGCTCAAGAGCAGTACTTGTGAAAAAGATCTTGGAGTCTAAGTGGACAACAAATTAAACATCAGCCAACAATGTCAAGCGGCAGCAAAAAAAGCCAATGGGATTTTGGCCTGCATCAATAGCAGTCTAGTGTCTAGATCCAGGGAAGTCATGCTACCCCTCGATTCTGTCTTGGTTCTACCACACCTGGAATATTGTGTCCAATTCTGGGCACCACAATTGAAGAGAGATATTTACAAGCTGGAATGTGTCCAGAGGAGGGCAACTTAAAATGTCAAGGGTCAGGAGAATAAGCCCTACAAGGAATGGCTTAAAGAGCTGGGAATGTTTAGCCTTCAGAAAAGAAGGCTGAGAGGAGACATGATTACCATGTATAAATATGTGAAGGGAAGTAATAGGAAGAAGGGAGCAACTTGTTTTCTGCTGCACTGGAGACTTGGACGCGGAACAATGGCTTCAAACTACAAGAAAGGAGATCCCACCTGAACATTAGGAAGAACTTCCTGACTGTGAGAGCTGTTCAGCAGTGGAACTCTCTGCCCTGGAGTATGGTGGTGGTTCCTTCTTTGGAGGCTTTTAAGCAGAGGCTGGATGGCCATCTGTTGGGGGTTCTTTGAATGCATTTTTCCTGCTTCTTGGCAGGGGGTTGAACTGAATGGTCCACGAGGTCTTTTCCAACTCAATGATTCTATGATTATGTAAGTCAAATGAACCTTGATTGATATACAGTCCAGATAGTTTCCTTCCAAGCGATACCTTTTATAAAGCTACTCCTGGCATCACTGCTCTGTTCTGACACTGAATGCCACGCATAGGTTTATTTCTATTGTTCGTTTTAAACAATAAAGTCCTACCCAAAAGATTGCAAGACTTTTCTCTGAGACAAATAGTTAGGCGGTTTCGGATCCTGACACAGAGGAAAGCCTCTTCTGAATGCGTCCTGTTAAGATTTGCCTCTTTCTCTTTGTTTTCCAGGAGCTCGGTGAAGAGATGCAAGGAGAGAAACCTGGATAAGGCTCTCCAGATTTTGGCCGGTATGAGCAAAGGATTGTGGGAACTGGACGGTGATGCCATACTCCCATTGGCACGCTGCGTCGTGGCTTGCCAAATGGAGGCCGCCGGCAGCTCCAGCACTTTCTGCCGACTTGAGAAGGTGGGTTTACTCATGGATAAACTGTGGAACTCACTGCCACATGAAAATAATGAAATGTATGCCAAGAGTGTGGATACCCTACAGATACCGCAAGGAGAAGAGGGCAATAAATTATTATTATTATTATTATTATTATTATTATTAATGGAAGGCAAGTCAAGGAGTGGCTCCTAGACTGTCAAGGGCCTTCTCAGTTGTCACCCTGTCACCTGCAACGCCAAGCAAAAATATGCTATTTGCTAAATAGAAGACATTTCCCAACCAATGGCTCTTTTCCTTCTTCAGATCATCGCAAAATTAGCGGAAGGGAATGAATCCTTGGTCTCCAAACAAGTGAACGAGTTCATGGACTACTTCTCCAAGGACAACGAGGTGAAAAGTGATTGGGTTTATTAAAACCTGAAAGAAAATTGTGGGGGGAAAGCTCCCTTTCTGCATTGAAGTTCCCCTTGGGTACTTTAGTGACATACAATGAATTGTGTCGTTTGACGTAATAGCACAATGTCTGATCTTCTAGTAGAAGTACAGCTTGGTCAGGTATTGTCATTGCAACTCTATGAACACCTTCTCTTAAATAATGTCTGCATATTTCTGTGAGTAAATATCCTACGCTCTGATTCCCCATTGTCCCCAGAAAAAAATGGCTTGCAGGGCAAGAATGAGGTGGATAGGGGACCCTTCTTCCCATTTTTCTCCCCCCCCCCCCCCCCCGAAAAAAAAAACAACGAAAATGAAAGCACAAGGCTGGGTGGGTTGTGGTTGCTCAGTTTGATCCATTTCCAAACTCCTTCTTTCCTTCTCCTTTCAGCCGTTGTCGCCTCATACTTTGCAGACAGGTAAGTCTCCAACTGTTAAACCCCAGACAGGTTGACACTAGATCAGTACAGGATTTAGATAGATTATCTTAACTCTTCCAACCTGTAGCGACAGTGTTTTGGTTTTCTTTTTTTGATGCTCAGTGTGCATATTTATCGAGGAAAGTACAATGGGGCGAAAGTACTGGAAAAACAAGCTGATGCTGCTGTTGCAATGCATTGCTGCCACCTTTGATGTCATCCTGAAGGACCCAAGCGCCAGGAATGAGGAATGGCAGCACCTTACAGTTAAGGTAAGAAAACGAGCTTTAGGCTGCAATCCTAGAGCCACTTAATGTCAGACTATAGCCATAATTTTTAAACATTTGTTTTATTTATTTATTTATTTATATTCCACCCTTCTCCCCCCAAAGGGAGCTCAGGGCAGATCACAGAACATACATATGGCAAACATTCAGTGCTGTTTATACACTGACAAGACAGACAATTGTACATAGATAGAGGTGTATATAGGCTTTTGCCATCTTTGGCATCTTGGAGACTTGTGCTCGTTTCCGGCCACAGTGGGGTGCTGTTGCTTCACTTTCCCTGCCAAAGAGCTTTGTTCGTAAACTTCCTCCTTGTTTGAATCGCCAGCATGTTTCTGGCACTTCCTTATGGGTGCCTTAAATACCTCCCTGTTTTAAGTAGTACCTATTTATCTACTCACATTTTGCTTTCAAACTGATGGGCAGGCAGAAGCTGGGCTAAAGGCCAGGAGATCACCCTGACCCAGGCTTCAAACTGTCAACCTTTTGATTGCAAGATTTCCTGAAGCTGGTGTTTAACCTGCTGTGCTAAAGCCCGGCAGTGAGGAAAGAAAGTCACCAAAGAAAAAATCTTATTGTGGTTTGCCTTTCCTTACCGCACTAAAAACATGTCTGTTTTCCCTTATTTGTACCCCTAAGGGTAAGAAGCACTCTTCCAAGGCCTCTTGAAGCCTTGTTTGTCCCCAAGGAATTTTATGAATCCAACATTGCATTATACACTTCTGGCATCTTCTTGTTTCCATTTCTGTTTTGTCTATTGCATTTTCTGGGCTGGTGTGTGCTAACATTAGGTTGATGCAATCCATTACAGTCTCAAGAGTCCCAACAATGTAGACATAATTTTAAAATATCTGTCGTTACATAGCCGTGCATCATGAGATCTCTAGGAGATAGGACCCAAGTCAAAACATACAAGACATTTATCTGTCATGTCCACTTTATTACAGCCTAAAAGTCATTTTATACAACATTTTTTTCAAACATTTTGTGGACGAAACCATGGGGACATTTTTTTGGTATTATTTCAGAATTTCGGATAAAGGATGCTTGGCCTTCTTTGTCACTTCTCTAGATCTGCCTGCAGCTATTCAAGTGGATGCCAAAGGAGGTTTCGACGCTTGCGTGGGATGGGGCGGACAATGCCGATGTCTTGCAAAGGATTCTGGGATCTCTGCTGCAAATCATGGCAGGAAAGGTGATCTTTTGCCCTGTCTGCCTCACCAAATGGGGTGGGATTGATATTTAATTGTTGGAAACCACAAGAATCCTGATCTCTCCGGCAAGAATGCTACAAGTTGTATTTCATGCCGAAAATACGCAATTGTGACCTCAGCTCCACAGGCTCCACAAACAAGAGTATGGAACCGAGTGACCCGGGAAAATGCCTGTTTTTTCAGGAATACAGAAAATGTGTGATGGGGGTCGGAGAATACTGGGTTAAGCAAGGGATCCAGAAAAGAATCCAACATGAGCTGAGCGTGTCCTGCGGCTGTGGAATGGGGACCCCCTGGGAAAGTGGAGAGCCTGGGAGTGCAGACTGGAATGGAGAGGCTGACATGCAGTTTCAATTTATGCTTGTAAACGTCTGGATGCTTTTTGGAAGGAGTCTTGTTCAGAACATTCCTCTCTCCTTTGTTTGTCCTAGGCCGCTAGCAAGGACACCCGTCTTCTGGTGGGCATTGCTGTGAGTATGCTGGTGAATACAGCGCCCAAGCCACTGCAAGGAGCCAGAGCAATTCTGAGCCTCTATCGTTTGCTGGATCGAGGTGGTGGTTTCATTGTCCAAGAGGCGGAGGGGACAATTATGAAGGTACCCGCAATGGACAACTACAAAGGTACCCGCAAACATTTATTAGTTAAAGGTTTCCCTTGACAATAAATCTAGTTGTGTCCGACTCTGGGGGGTGGTGCTCATCTCCATTTCTAAGCTGAAGAGCTGGCGTTGTCTGTAGACAGCTCCTAGGTCATGTGGCCAGCATGACTGCATGGTGTCGTTACCTTCCTGCCAAGGTGGTACTTATTGATCTACTCACATTTGCATGCTTTTGAACTGCTAGGTTGGCAGAAGCTAGGCCTAACAGCAGTTTACCCTGCTCCCCAGATTCGAACCGCCAACCTTTTGGTCAACAAGTTCAGCAGCTCAGTGATTTAACCCGCTGCGCCACCAGGAGGGCAATAACATTTATTATTATCCTTATTATTATTACTACTACTACTACTAACACTACTACTACTAGCTTGGGTACCCGGCGTTGCCTGGGTAATTTGAAAAATCATTTTTAAAATTTTCCAAAATGCAAAAGGTTGTAGGTGAACTGCAACTCACATCATGCCAAGTTAACCCCAAAAAACTCCATCAATACTTAGTTTGTCATGTTGCAAATATGAATAAAGTGTTATTATATGTTATTGGAACCGGCCACAGGTTATGTTTGTCCATTACTATGTGGATGGGACAGGGTATGACCAAACCTGAGTCAACACAATGCCATACTTTACCCACTGATAGTGGATTTCTTTTTTCCTGTCTAGGGGAATACTGGTTTGGAATGCTCCGTGTGGTTCCCTCTGCTTGGAGTCCGGATGGTTTGGAGACATTGGTTTTGACTCGGGGTTTGTTGTCCTGTTGCAAGAAGGAAATCCTGAGCTGCCGTCTGGACGGCCACAAACAGGTCAGCTTTAAAAGAATACAGTCATAGTCACTGGGGTTTGGAGCGTAAGAGCCTCATGAAAGAGGAAAATCAACGAATAAAACAATCATGCTATTTTTTTAGCCTAGGAGAACACCTTTCTAGGTACTCCGGTGCCATTCTGTGGTCAACTTTTCTTTCTGCAGTCTTGCCTCTTGCTGGATGTGCTTTTCCCAGTCGTTTTAGCCTTAATGGAAGAGCCAATGGATCGCCACTACTACTGCTTTCAAGGTAGGCAGTTAAAAGGGGGGGTCAATCTGTGTCAGTTCTGCAGTGTGGACCCTTGGTGTGACAAGTTGGAATGGAAAAAAGAGATGCACTCTGCTGTAACTCCATCCAAACATGCATCTCTGTTTACATAAAGCGTTGTGAACATAATCTAACAGGTGCCATCTTTGTGAATCAGTCCTATAGCAGCCCTGTGCTCTTACCTTCTGTCTCTCATTGCAGTTTTCTCTCTGTGGCTTCAAAGTTTCCGAGAAAATCTGGATGAAATTTGGAAAGCAGCGGGTGGCCGGGTGCTGGGCGACAATTCCAGCCTGCTCCAGAGACTGACCCAGTTGCTCTGGAACAATGCAGAGAGCCCGGTATGATATCAGGTTTATTTTATGCCATCTGGAAAGCCTTACATAGAAAAAACTGCTAAAACAGATGGGAATTGAATCTTGGAAGACCTAGACATTCCCAGAGAGGACACATGTATCAAATCCCTGAATAATCCAATCTGCCAAAGTCAGGCCATTAAGATGTGGCTGTATAACATTTTTAGGTTTTTAGTCTGTACTGAGTCCTAGTTTTTGGAGAAACTGGGTAGAAATCAAATAAACAAGCAAAAGGCCTCCATTTTGAAAAAATAACAATATGGAGAAGACAGGCAGGTAGAGAGGTGTCTAGATGGATCTTATAAGGAATGGAGCCAAATGGGTTGGGTACAGAAAGCTGTGTTACACATCCCAAGCCATTTCTTCCCAGCCAGAGTCGGAAACATTAGAAGCAGAACTCCAACTTCCAGAACTCCCTCACCGGCACGGGAGTCAGTCCAAAAAAGAAGGTTCCCAAACTCGAATTGTAAAAGGCAATGTCAGAACTGTTGATGGGTACGTTTGTGGCACGAACATATTAGCCACCAACCATTTTGCTTCCTGCCCCTCTGTTTTTAGGTGGAAGGGATCTCTGAGTCCATCCGCTGCTCCTTCCAGCTGCTCTTGGAGAGCTACAGTCTGGAATGTGACCACTTTGAAGCCCGGGAAAGACCCTTCTTTGAAGAAGTGCTGCAGAGGATGATCCTAATGCCCTGGCAGGCTAGAGCCCGATACTTCGCCCTTGTGTCGGTTCTCCCCTACTTGGGCCCCGAAAAAGTAAGCCATCCAGGCGTGTTCAATAGTACTTTTTGGTACCATCACTCTTAGTTGAGACTTTGCAAATGACAAGGAACAAGTCCCAGGGTGATCAGCAGGGTGAGGCACGTGGAGTATATATATACCTGTAGAATAATGTCCAGGATGGGAAAATGAAACCTTGTCTGTTGAAAGCAAGTGTGAACGTTGCAAGTAGCAGGCTCGAATTACCATTTGAGTAGCTATGAAGTTTGCAAAGTCAGTCAGTGACATAGCCTGGCCTTTGTTGCCTGGAGGCAATCCTCTGTTTGCGAGGTGTTAACTGGCCTTTGATTGTTTGTTGTCTGGAGTTCTCCTGTTTCTGAGTGGTACTACCAGTATTTAAAAATTCCAGAATCAAGACAGTAAATAATGAACGTCACCCAGAAATAGAAGAACTCCAGACAACAAGCAATCAAGGGCCAATTAACACCTCCCAAACAGAGGAAGCCTCCACCTTTGCTCTCTCTTTCCTGTTTTCCTACCCCCACCTCCATGTTGTATATCTAATGCCTCTTAGTTTTCATCTTGTCTTCTCTGCAAAGGTTCTCGATCTCTACAAGGAACTCCCAGGGCACCTCTTGAGCTGCCTTTCAACCAACCACTTGTGCCCAGTTGCAGCGGAAGTGTACAAAACCTTCCTGCAGCTGCAGCGTAAAGCCTGGATGGAAGGCCACGGCCACGTCTCAGAGGAGGAACTGTCTCAGAAGTGGGCCTGCCCTTGGCTTCCAACCCTGTCCATCGCCTTGATGTCTCCCAACACTTTCCTTCAGAACCATGCCTCCAGCCACCTCCTTGGCTGCACCTTGCGGCTCTTCCCTGCCTCTTCCGCCTTGCTGGCAGAAAGCTTTTGCGGCGGACATGCCTCTCAGCTCTGGGCCTGGGTGGCCTTGGTGAATGCTCAGAAAGCAGTCACCGGGGCCTTGCCTGCAGACACTGCAACCCTGGAGAGACTGGCCTCGTGCTTCTCCTCCAAGGAAGAGAACATTCGCCTGGCCGCACTGGGCTTGTTGTGTGCCACCCCCAGAACCAATCAAGCCCTGACCGGAACAGAAATCCGTCTCCTGCAGGAATTCTTGCTGCTCAACCTGAACTGCGACTCTTCTGCCTTCCGGCAGCTGCTCCAAGCATCCATGAAGAAAGCTTTGGTCAGGATGAGGGACAGCTCCCTTGCCATACTTAGAGCTAAAGCCCCGAACAAGAAATCTCAAAGCAACCTGGAAGTCTCGGTGCAACCTGGAGAACACAGAGACAGCTCTCTGATACAAGCGGTAGGTGAGTTGGCCTGTTCTCCTGAACTTTCAGTGGACCATGGATGATGTTCAGGAAATTGTCTTTGCCGTTATCATTACTTCAGTGAGCTCCTCATATCCACAGGCAATGTTCCTGACTATACTGAGATTGCATGAAACCATAGCTATGACTGAACACCATTGAATCACATCACTTCCAGTTCTAGCGTACTACAGAGTTGCATCAGGGAACCTAGAGATTTCTAGAGAGATGTCCTCTCCTAGAGAGAATTTGCAACATCTTCCAATGCAACTCTGTGGAAGGAAAGAAAACCTTACATAATATTGCCTGGAAGCCCTAGAAAATGCATCCTTGTGGGGAATGGATGAGGGGTCACTTTTGTCATTGGCCTCAAGCTGCCTAATGTTTTTAGACCAGCCCTGGTGGTTCCAGGCTGTATCCACTCTCCCTTTTAGATCTTCTCCTGCCATTGTTTGGACAGAGGTATGAGTTCTTTATGGAGCCCCCAGTGGCGCAGTGAGTTAAACTGCTGAGCTGCTGAGCTTGTTGACCAAAAGGTCGCAGGTTCGAATCCGCTATCAGCCCCAGCTTCTGCCAACCCACAGTTTGAAAACATACAAATGTGAGTAGATCAATAGGTACCGCTCTGGCGGGAAGGTAACGGCGCTCCATGCAGTCATGCTGGCCACATGACCTTGGAGGTGTCTACAGACAACGCCGGCTCTTTGGCTTAGAAATGGAGATGAGCACCTCACCCTAGAGTCGGACACAACTGGACTTAATGTCAGGGGAAAACCTTTACCTTTTATGGGTTCTTTCACACTGCACAGTGGGATTTGTAATTTGGTGAAGATCAATTCGGATGCTCAGCAAGAGACCTCCTTCAATGTCTAACCAAACACATACCTCAAGATTCTGTAGCTATGATTGTTAAAGTGAAATCATCACATTGTAATAACATAGTGTTGAACCAACTGTTTGTCTCTCCATGAACTTGTGTTTCCCCTTCACCCCAGTATTGTCAGTCAGCCTCTTAGAATCATAGAGTTGGAAGGGACCTCGTGGGCCATCCAGTCCAACCCCATTCTGCCAAGCAGCAGGACAATCACATTCAAAGCACCCCCGACAGATGGCCATCCAGCCTCTGTTTAAAAGCCTCCAAAGAAGGGGCCTCCACCACACTCTCGGGCAAAGAGTTCCACGGCTGAACAGCTCTCTCACACACAGTTAGGAAGTTCTTCCTCATGTTCAGATGGAATCTCTTTTCTTTCCTGTCGTTTGAAGCCATTGCTCCATTGCGTCCTAGTCTCCAGGGCAGCAGAAAACAAGCTTGCTCCTTCCTCCCTATGACTTCCCCTCACATCATGATCCATGGCCCTCATCATGTCTCCTCTCAGTCTTCTCTTCTGCAAACTAAACATGCCTGGCTCTTTCAGCCACCCCTCCTTGGGCTTGTTCTCCAGATCCTTGATCCTTTTAGACACCCTCCTCTGGACACATTCCAGCTTAGATTGCTAGATTCTTCCCTTCAATTGTGGTGCCTAGAATTGGACACCGTGTGATTCCAGGTGTGGTCTGACCAAGGCAGAATAGAGGGGGAGCGTGACTTCCCTGGATCTAGGCACGAGAGTCCTATTGATGCAGGCCAAAATCCCATTGGCTTTTTAGCTGCCGCATCACATTGTTGTCTCATATTCATCTTCCTGTCCACAAGGACCCCAAGATTGTTTCCCCACAAATTGCTGTCGAGCCAGGCAACTCCCATTCTGTCTCTTTGCATTTCCTTTTTTCGGCCAAAGTGGAGTATATTGCATTTGTCCCTGTTGAATTTCCCTTTGTTGCTTTTGGCCCATCATCTCTCTAATCTGTAAAGATCGTTTTGAGTTCTGCTCCTGTCTATTGGCTCTCTCTCCCAATTTGGTCCCATCTGCAAACATTCCATCATTCTCTCTTCATGCCTCAAACGTTCTCTTTCTCTTTCAGCCTCTCTTTCTTCCCTCTCAGCCTCTCTTTGCATTCTTTCTCAGCTTCCCTTTCCATTCTTTCCCTCTCAGCCTCTCTTTCTTCTCTCTGAGCCTCTCTTTGAATTTCCAGTTCCCTAATTCTCATCTCCATTTTAAGCCTTTGAATTTCTAAAGAGGTAGCAATCTGTTCTTGACTGCTCCTCTGTGTTTGTGTCTCAATTTCCTCAGCTGATTCCATAGCTTCTTCCCTTTCTGCTCCCTCAGACACAACCTTTTTGGCTTTTGGGTGCCATTGTAACTGCTGGTTTTATAAAATAGAGTCTGTGGTAGATTCCTTTCTCTGAGGTAAATTCTGAAAGTTGGTTTTTGGACAAAATTCACCTCAGGAGTTTCTCAAAAACCACTGGATTAAGATGTGTCACGATCCAACCGCTGCCTACCAATTATAACGATCACACCGCTGTACCACCAAATTATAAAGATCAAATTATAAAGAGGACTTCCGGTGGACATGGCGACGGGACTGCCTCGCTGAGAGTGAGCTCCCAGCGAGGACCTGTGTTGTGGCGGCTAGGTTGAGCTGAATGCTCCCCCCTTTTGCCGGATTGAGTTTGCAAAGGTGCCGCGAATCCCAGTGTGGGCTTGAGACCCCAAAGATCTCCCCCCCCTCAAGGAGGAGAGGTCGAGTGGGTCCGGGCAACACAGGGGAGAGCGAGCCGCCCCACGAGGATCGAACCGCAAGGTCCGTTTAACCGCCGCCGATCCATTCACAAATTAGAAGAAGAAGTTGAAATAAAGAAAGCCCAGATTGGGTGGAGAAGCAAGAAAGACCCCAGCAACAGGTAACGGGACAAGATCCCACACTTTTAAAGAATAAATAGCCAAGCCGTAAGGGCTTGGGGAAATAAAGAGAGAGAAGGAGATAAGAAGAAAAGAAGCCGCAGGATTTAAAGAGGAAGAGATCACATTTTTGGTCTCCGGTCTCTCGGTAGTAATATCTGATTGATTGATTAAAATATATATAAATTATAATAAAATTTAACTTAAATTGGCAATCTAAATTGATGAATTTAAATCATCGAAATTAGAGGCAAAACTAGAGGAAAAGCCGCTCTGCTAAAGTAGATGAAAATGAAGACGAAGATGGAGTGATAGCCCCCTTTCGCATCCCCCCCGAAAACCTAAAAGAAAGTGGAAAACTGATAATATCTCCGACCTTGACGCCATAACTGTTGTGTCTATCTTCAGCCTTCTTTATAAACAAGTAGGCTGAGTTGGCGGGAAGGAAGTGACGGAAACGGAAACGGAAGGCAGATTAAAGTGACGGACGAGAAGGTCGGAAGAAGCATAGAAGGGACAGAGGGGCGGAAGTGACGGGGCGGAAGGAGGGAAGACGCCATTTTGAAAATCATAGAGAAAGTCCGATATAGAGCGGCTAGAGAAAAATTGGAAATAAATTGGAAATAAATTGAAATTAGATTAAGGGAAAGCCCGAAAATCCGATAGAGAAGTAGAGGGCAGGAGGAGACAGATCGAGGACGAGAAGCAGACGTTGGAGGTGAGGAGACGCGGACAAGGCGAGGAAGAGAAGTAGACGAAGGGCACCGAGGACGAGAAGCAGACGAAAATAGATAATTCGAGGACGAGAAGCAGACGAGTTGAAAGAAATGGCAACCCCAGGCAAACCAGAATCCCGGAGGGGGTCTCTGGATATAAACCCAAAAATGGACAACCTATTAAAAGAAATAAAAAAGATTTCGGAAAAACAAGATGCTTTGAAAGTGGAATTGAAAGAGGAGGTTAAGGCTAAACATGAAGAATATTATAAGAAACAAGAGGGAATTATTACAAAGATGACAGAAGAATTCAAGGTCTTGAAGTCTGAAATAAAGCAAGAATTTGGCCAGATAAAAGAAGACATATCGCAACTACATGGAGAAGTGAAAGAATTAAAAGTTTCTAAAGAGAAAATTGAGGGAACACAATCAGAAATGGCTCAGAAGATAAAAGGACTGGATAAACATAGGGAAAAAATGGAATGGGAACAAGAGAGATTACTGCAAATGCAAATGGACTTCCAATTAAGATTCAGAAATATAGTGGAGGAGGATAAAGAAGACATAAGATCATTGGTTATTAAAATGCTGGCAAGTTGTATGGAATGTGAGGAGGATGAATTTGAACAAGAGGTGGACCAAGTTTATAGGATTTCTTCATTCTATGCGAGGAAGAATAAAACCGCACGGGATGTGATTGTGAAATTTACAAGGAAGAAGGTGAGGGATGACATTTTGTATAAAAGTAACAGAAACCCAATCTTTTACAAAGAAAAGAAAATTGTAGTTTTGAAAGAATTTCCCCAGATGACCTTAGTGAGAAGAAGAAAATATTTCTTCCTAACAGAAGAGCTGAAAAAGAGAGAGATAAGATTTAGGTGGGAGAGAAAAGAAGGAATAATGGTGACATATAAGGAAGAAAGACACTGGCTAACATCTGAGCATAAGGCTAAAGTGTTCTATGATAAATTAATGAAAGAACAGGGAGATGAAGAAGAAATGGGAGAGGAGGAGGAAGAAGAAGGAGACGAAGCGGAAGGAGATGAAGAAAGAAGACTATCTACTCCAAGAAAGGGTATCAAAGAGAAAAAGGCAAGATATACGTCACCAAAGGATTATAGCTACTTATTGAAAGATCCCAAACCACAGAGAACGACACCAAGAACGACACTACGGAAAGAAGAAAAAAGAAAAAGAAGAACAGAGTGTTGAACAACAGGCAACTGGAACAGCGGAAATGGCTTGTGGCGATATAGGATTGGGACTCGATGGGAATGAATAAGATGATGGAACGACAAATAAAATGTTTCTCAAACAACATTAACGGTTTGAACTCCCCCCAGAAACGCAAGAAAGTATGGAATAGCTTGAAGAAATTGGATTATGATGTAATAGCGTTACAGGAAACGCACATCAGTGATAAATATATCGCACACCTCCCAAACAAAAAATTAGGAAAAGAATATCATTCCTCATATGAGAAGAAGAAAAGAGGAGTAGT